TCTCCCTCCCTCTGTGGCTCTGAAACTCGAGACAACGAGCCACTTGACATTGATTGCCAAGGATGGGCTGGGTCATGTTTTATATTCCGTGTCGTGGCTGGAGTTGGCAGCAGCATCTCACTGGTCTGACGCCGATTCCCCCTTTGGTGGCACAAATGATGCGCGCGCTGCGTGGCTACACACAACACGCAAAAGGCTGTGTGCTGGTGTGTGTTGTGTGTGTGTGTGGCGCTGCTGCGCCGCCTATATTTCATGAATGATTCCTCTGGCAGCAACTTGAAGTCCTAATTTTAGCACATCAAGTCAGCTTTCAGCAGCCAACGCGGCCCACGCAAGGAGAAAATCTATGCTCTTTGTCGATTTATGTCAGGCCGCTGGCCCCGTGGGCAGCGTTATAGAAAGTAACATTTTTAATTTGTTAATCAATTCCAATTAACCTCTGGGGTAAATTGTTTCAAATGTATTTGAAGCCAGCACTCGCTCCTTGCCTAGCTGTATGAGTGGGTAACAAATACCGCTATAGTTAGCAGTGATTATACAGTCGTTGCACGGTGTTGCAAACTATTCATCCCGCGCGGCCACTTCGCTCCCCCTTGTTTGGTGGCATGCATCAGGCATGCATACGAGGCCACTTTATCCCTCCAACGCTTACCTCGCCGTGGCACATCTCCAAACAGGCATTCTAATATATTACTTAATGGTCTCCTGCCACAGTTGCACCTGAACGGCCCTCCACCCACGCAAGTGTCCATTACTCCTCTCCGTGCAGTACACCAATATGAAGCTGCAGAAACAATGGTCCAATTAATTCTAAATTAAGGTGGAGCAGGGAGGAGGGCGCGAGGGGGGGGGGGGGTGTAGACAGTCCAAAAAAAAAGAGGAAGATCATCCCTGGTAGTTTTCATTTGATGAAGTTTCCATCACATCTTGTTGGATTTATATTTACTGTGTGTTAATGGTTGAGCACGCACCCTACATGAGGGCTTTAAAGAAAATGGCGCCATTGGGCTTATTCTTGTAATTCTGTATTTGTATATAAAGATATCAGCATCGTACAGTAGCTACAGCACACAGTTGTACCAATGAATATACTTGTCTTTAAGATAACCAGGACATATGCTTTTGTGAACTGTAAGGGCCGACTCAAATGAAACTTATTTCTATTTGGCTTAAAAAAGAAGACGCCTCGCACTGATCTTTTCCCGCACCGTTTTCCACCAGGAAGTGGCGCTGACAATGACTTTCATCCGACTCGAGGCAACAGAACGTTCCCCCAGTTCTTCTCTCT